ATTGAGTCGATCTCAAACAATCTTGGTAGGTTGGCGCTTCAGATAGTGTTGAATATTCTAAAGGGATTCAAAGTCAAAGTAGGAAAGTTGCTGGACTGTTTCTCAAACAGCCATGTTTTTTTCATGGTCAATGAGATGTAGGGTGTTCAAAGGTGGGATAAACTCAAAATCTTTATATGTTGATAGATGAAAAGCAAATTGCAAATGTTGTTTATGAAGAAGCTTTGTTATAATTTTAAAATTTCGAGATAAAGTTTATGTTCAAGTTATTACTTTGAAATATATGATTGGTGTTAAACTTACATTAAGTTTAAACATTCCTCGTCAGTTGACGGGTATTTCGGCTTATATATTATACAAACCAACATTGTATCCTAAAATGTTTAATATTACAAGTAGGTAACCACCACAAAAAGTACCTGTGGTATTCATGTATATTTTATGTCAAAAATCAGCATACCCTCAATCCTGGTAATGTACCAGAGCAATACGGTATCGATTTCGCAGGAAAGATTTGTATACAGAACTTTAGACTATGGAAAGAACCCTTCTGACAGCTAATACATTACAAATTCCTATCCGTCTATGCTTGAAATCTTAGAACTGACTAGTAGTACTTCTTCAGTAACAATAAAATAAACTAAAACACAATTATAAAATTTATAATACAAACTGCTTAAGTATAGTAACAGAATAAGTGTGGAAAATCTAGAGAATAGCTTGAAAGTAATAGATTAAGATTAGGATTCGAACTCGCGACTATATTTGCTAGGGCCCCCCCAGTGGCATAGCGGTAGTTATGCGGACTTAGAACGCTAGAAACTGGGTTTCGATACCCTTGATGGGCAGAGCACAGATAGCCCATTGTGTAGCTTTGTGCTTAACTTAAAAACAAACAAACAAACAAGGAAACTATTTGCTAGAGTCCCCTGGTGGGTCATAAAAAAGTTCACGGACTTAAAATGTTAAACTCCGCAATTTCATTCTCCGTGTTGGACAGAACCAGATAGCTCAATGGGTAGCTTTGAGCTAAAACAAATAATCTATTTTCTGGGCCAACACTTTAATGATTTAGAATAAATATACATAAGGATGATTCAATACCATACATTAAAGCATTTATTTTCGAAACGTGAAAATTAATATCTTTTTGAAAAAAAGCTTATTATTATCATCAAGATCTTCTGATGAAAGTATTCGACCTTCGTAGATTAGAACTGAAAATTAATTCTAGTATTTAAGCAGCTAACTTAATCTACCATTCTAATTTATAATTATATTATTCAAATACACGAATTCATCAGTTTTGTACCCTTGTTGTTAGCCTAGTATTTAAGCAGCTAACTTAATCTACCATTCTAATTTATAATTATATTATTCAAATACACGAATTCATCAGTTTGTACCCTTGTTGTTAGCGATACTTTTGACCATACCCCAATAATACCTGGCGAGTTTCGGCCAGCCTGGGAAATTTATATATATTACAAGTTAACAATGCAAAATATATTCCTCATAATAAAAAATTAATATAAAAATATGTATTAAACATTTTAATCAATACTGTTAATGAAAGTAACATTAAATTAACAATAAAATATAGCTTCCTTATAAAAATATCCAAACTAATTGTTTCTTTTATGCATTCTCGCTGATTATCTTTCCCTGGAAAAGCGTAACACTTATATATACAACGCTTTATATAGTCTTTTTTTAACAATGCCTAGTGACCAATGTAATCCCATTAAACGAATCTGACAGCGTAACTCTAAAGTAGCTTCATATCTGAGAAAAATTACTAAGATACATGTTAGTGTCTAACTATAAGAGTCGGATAGAGGGACCGTATAGATAGTGCAGTAAAAATATGAAATAAGTAATTCAATTAATAATAGAATCGCACAATAAATAGTAAAATATTAATATTTTAATTAAAATAACCAAGTTAAATGTAATAAAAAGAAAAACAATTTACTAAACATAGCACGAGCTGTGTCTAGTACAGTTAATCTGACATTAACTATTCTCTACCACACATTGTCAATGTACACAGCAGGAAATCGAAAGCAATAAATAAAGATAAACTCTAACGACCAGCCTAAGGATATATTAGAAATGATAATATACCAGAAAGATCACAGTAATAACAATATTTTAAACGAAGAAGTAACAATGATAGTACATATGACAACTAAGTAATTAACAGAAATTAACGTAACTGAACGGACAATGTAAATTAAGTATAGTGAGGGGTAAAACTAACTGCGGCTGACATGCTAACGTTATTCATTATTACTTTAACAATTAGTTCAGAAATAAAGGTATTTCCCATAAGTAATTTATGTTACTTAGTGGTGAACGTAAAGTAATTTATGTTACTTAGTGGTGAACGTAAAGTAATTTATGTTACTTAATGGTGAACGTAAAGTAATTTATGTTATTTAGTGGTGAACGTAAAGTAATTTATGTTACTTAGTGGTGAACGTAAAGTAATTTATGTTACTTTGTGGTGAACGTAAAGTAATTTATGTTACTTAGTGGTGAACGTAAAGTAATTTATGTTACTTAGTGATGAACGTAAAGTAATTTATGTTATTTAGTGGTGAACGTAAATGGAACTTTTTGATTTTGAATAGGACATTTAATTTAAAATATTTTTATTACAACAACGAGAATTTCATTACCGGGTCAGAAGACACCACTCATCTTGCTGTATATTTCTTCAGACTTTTGCCTCTTGAGAGGAGAGACCTCTTCGACGTATTAGCAGGCTGTTTTCTTTTATTGTTTGGTATGCTGACTTGTAATTTTTTAATATTTTTACAGAGAAATAAAGACAACAACTCAAACGTGTTAATAATATGCAAAACGGATTCCGTAATATGCAAAATAAATTAAGAGAAAAACTTTTCTAATCTATTTAAACGTGAGAAGCACCTTTCCTCTGCATTATATGATGCTTCAGTTGACTTCAGAAAAATATCATAGTTCACTCTTCTTTATGCGGGTTTTTTTTATTTCTATAAACGACAGAGAAGTTTACTTTGTCAATACTATATATTATCTCACGTATTGTAATTCATACCCACAATGTTCTCATTTCTGCTAGGAATGTTCTATAGTAGTAGAGAAAATGGTCAAAACGTGAGTATAGGAAGTAAAAGAAACCAGTTTTTCTACAGTGAAGTTATCAAGACAGGATTGCAGTATATTATGGCCACCATTTTCTTAATTGTACAGCTAAAAATTTGATAAGCTGATAGTAAAATAATAAAAAAATTCTTGCTTAACATATAACACAAACTTTAGTGTCAAGAAGCTTTCGTTAATAATCTTCAAAATATACAGCTTTTCAGACAAGGCAAGGATGTTAACGTTTATCAACCTGAACTGATAAGTGTTTTATAAATAACAAACTCAGTGCTACTTCATTAAATCACGTTAATAAAAACAAACCAAATTTTCCCCTATAAATGTTATTGTTTATGGTTTGTAGCTGATCGATATTTCTCCTGAGAATGACGGAAATTAAATGTTTCTAGTTCATAGTTTCGATTCAAGTTTTCTAGAAATACTTTAGGTTAATTAAGAGGAACTGCTGTTGCTATAAGGATAAGTTTCATTGTTCAGCTAAGACTTTACGTCATTAACAGGCAATTAAAAACACATTAACGGGATTTTTATAGAATACATTCACCCGTTTGTAAGCGAAGGTAATATTGTACAATAATACAGTTATTCTAAATTTATTTCTAGATGTTCCTTATAATTAATATCCAACAGATTTTGCTACTTATGATCATTTATTCCAACATCTTTGTATGAAAACAAACGATAGTGTGTGTGTGTGTGTTTTTTCTATTTAGTTCAGGTACTCGCGCAAAGCTAGTCGTTCCTATTTTGGAACTGATAGACTAAAGTAAAGCCCCCCAGTAGCACAGCGGTATGTCTGCGGACTTACAACGCTAGAATCCTGGTTTCGATACCCGTGGTGGGCAGAGCACAGATAGCCCAATGTGTAGCTTTGTGCTTAACTTCAAACAAACAAACTAAAGTAAAAGCACCTAGTCGACAACTCTTGAGTTAATCTAATCTGAACATTCTTCAACTACGAACACATACATTTCTTCCTACCTTAAGTGGTACATGTTCATTTTATTGTTAAATACTTCCTACTTCAGAAAATTTGAGCTGTATGAAAGGAGTTTTTCGAAAATGTCATTAAAGCACGTGCTTGGACAATAATGATGGACACAGAATACGTCACAAGTGAGATCTACTCATCAAACCATGGCGAACTTCCAGCAGTTGCATCGTGTTAATACTTAAAACAATCTATTCAATAAAACTACTCGCTTTAAAACTATATAAGGAAACGTGAATAATAAAGCAAATATATAAAACGTTAATGGGAATATTTAATTTTTTCTACATGAATCCATTTTAAAATGCTCCAAATTTTTTAATTGATAAAATATTCGAATAAAATATATCACAAGTTTGATATTGGCATGTAAAAATCTTTATACCAAGACTAAACTTATGATTTTACTGGCAGATATTAATGTTTCTGAACTCAAATGTGAAAATGCTTAATGATAATTTAATTCACAATTCTAAGTAAAAAATGATTTCAAAATATCTACCTACATTGACATGTTTTTTTTTTAACTATAGTCGTCGCTAATCAAGCATTTTTATAGGTTTCTCTATTATCCTTTTTTACAATAATTAGAATTTTATCTGCATTTTTATTCCCATCAGTTGCCCTCCTTAATTTTGAGCTACTGACCAGGGGGAAGACAGCCATTATCAGTTAAAGGATTGACTGTCATTCTTATAACGCACCCACAGATAATAACTGTTTCGTGAGTAACTCTTCATAATCAATTAATCGTGCCTAAAGTGGCCAGTTTGTGTGATTTAACCCTTCACTATCAGTTAATGGTACATAAAATAACCGTTTTGAGCGAATTAACTTTTCAGTATAGTGAACGTACCTAAAATGGCTACTACTTCGTCATCTTGAATGACTTCGAGTGATCCGGATACCACAAAACACAGTGTATCAATACTTTCTCCCGTGTGATACAGAAGGTCACCAGGAGCGCTGTGGTCCATATTAAAGTACATGGCAAGAGCCCGGAGACATCCGTCACTTGCCAGCCGGAAAGCCGGATGTTCGTTGAAAACTTTTCGATTTAGATGGACAGAGATATCAGCCATCATATCCTTTGGACAGTAGTTTAAAACCTTCAAAGTAAAATAAAGAAAAAACCCAACCATTTGTATTATAAGATAACACTTTTTCTTTAGCTCGTAAATGCTGGAGTGGCTTAAACATTTTTTACCTCAGTGTTTACATATTGAGTAGATTAAATACAAACTTTATTTTCATGTTATTTCAACAGGAAAATAAGAGCTTTTTATTGGTAGTCATTATGTGGAAAGCTGTAGCAATTCTATTATGTTAATGTTTAACAATTATTATATTTTAACATTAACATTATAATAATTCTTACTTATAATTATGAGAAAAGTTGAAGCAAGCATACACTACATTGTTCCTTGCCAACTAACTAATACAAAATTCAAGCAAGCTCATCAGATTCTATTCTTAATAATCATTATAAAAACGGCTAGTAATGCAGAGGGTACTGGTAAATCCTTTGAATTTTCGGAGCTTATTTTTTTGTATTTCTGTATTAACTGTAATGTTTCACAATTGCCATGAGAATCAGTTTAGAAAGTGAAAGTCGGTTTTACTAACAGTAATTGCTAATGTGTTTCGGAAAATTTTGGTTATTCCCGATCAAAGTAATATATAATTCTGAATCGGAATATTGTAAAGATCGGAAGAGTAACGCATCCTACATAGTCTTGAATACTAAAATTTAACTTATAGCAGTACTCTTCCCCTGTACACAACACCACACAGCGGTGAATAGGAGTTTCATAATAGTTGACTTTCTTATTCCATAACGTTTTCTATATAAACAGTTGTGTGATTGGTTCAAAACGGAACCTATTTTTGATGTTGTACTTCTTTTGTCGATTTATTTTTAAAGTAAATGTTTCGTACTTTCTTTTGTTGGAACGTACTTTAAAAATTTCAAATCTCGTTCGGATCCTTCATGATGTAAATGAAAGGGCGACAAAGAGTTTTTTTAAAGAAAAAATTCAGTTACTGCCTTTAAAGAATTGTTTATTACCATTTTAGTGTCAATCCCTTTGCTCATTGCCCAAGTAGATACAATGTAATCCATCACCCGCTCACTGAGTGCTTTTGGTACTTCGTGCAGCTTCATGAACTCACGCACGTTATTCAACATCTCGTGATAACGTGCTGTGACTGACGTCATCTGCTGGATGATTGTCGTCACATGGCCAAATATGGTGGCATATAGTAATGCTACAATTAAAATAACATTTTTTAATACCACAGCCTTTTTGCATATACTAAAATATTAACACATTTTCAAAATTATCACTTCCTGATAAATATACATTTTGCATACAAATATTGTTGTGCCCTGTGTGAAAACATTATATTAAATATTTAACTATTGATAATAGGAAGAGGGTGCACAAAGGCTACGTTCAGTAATATTTGATGATAGACAAAGTTATAGTCAAGAAGCAAAAATAAAAACATTTATGCCAAATCTCATTCGTCCTCTACCGACATCACAGTTAGGTCAATATTATAAGTACATTCCAAGGCAATTAATATTCCGATTAAATATATATATATTAAAATCTGTAGCACAATCCTTTTTAACAAGGACCATTCGAGTGGTAATGATGTAAATAATAATTTTCAAATGAAAATAACTGTAATTTCCTAAACCTTTACAATAGTCCATACATATATTAAAAATCTATGCTCGTATAACAGAGTAAACATGGTCAAATATGGTGTCATATAGCAACGCCACAATTCAAATAACATACTAAAATATTAACACATTTTTAAAATTAATCCTTCCTGATAAATAGACATTTTGCATTCAAATATTGTTGTGCAATGTGTGAAAACATTATATTTAATATTCATATCTCTTCCCCCTTGGGCCCAGCATGACGGTCAATCCCACTATTCGTTGGTACAAAAGGTAGCCCAAGAGTTGTCGGTGAGTGGTGATGATTAGCTGCCTTCCCTCTAGTCTTACACTGCTAAATTAGGGACGGCTAGCGCAGATAACACTCGTGTAGCTTTGCGCGAAATTCATAACAAACAAATGTTCCCCCCTTTTTTTGACGATGTCCTAGTTTTTCTTCTTAACAAGATTTCAAAAATATAATCCTATGTGTATTGCTGTTTGTTTTCGCCTATGTTTTTGGGGTTATCTGCTCTGTGCCTACCGCTAGTATCGAACCTCGATTTTTAGCGTATAAGGTCTTACGCTTACCACTGAGTCATTGGAGAACATATGTATAGCTTGCTAGTTCTTTTTAAAAGCTTAAAGCTAAACTTATATTCTTTTAAAATATAAATACACCAATAGTATTACGTTTATATTACAAACAAAGTATAAACAAATGAATCACAATAACATCAGTGTGGATTCTGTTTTGTTCTAGTCAGACACGGAACAATAATGTAAAGTCAGTTTGAGTCTGTATTTGTACTTGACTAACGCTTACCTGTCGTGTTAACACTTCCGATGCTACTACAATCATTTGACCTACACAGGCAATTTAGGGCCAAACAACTGTATTAGGTCATTTATTTTTATTTTTGTTGTTATTTAGCACAAAGCTGCACAATAGGCTATATGCCATGTATCAACCGCAGAAATCGAATTCTCAATTTTAACTACATAAGCCCTCAAGCGTGTTTCTTAGCCACCGAGGTGTGGGGCAGAATGGATTATTCAGAAAAAAAACAACAACTAGAAACCACATTGTAAATTGATGTTGTACTGTATTGTAAAATGATTGGCAAAATCTAAAAATTTACAATTCCTTGTGATTTTTTTAATGTTTGTCATATTATTACCCGACACTTAAATCAAGCAGATACCGTATTTCGTTGATTGTTGTCACTGAGGGAAAAATTTAAGTACGTCTCTGAGTTGAGTCGATTAATTTTGTTTTTGCTTTATTTCTCAGACAAGTACTTCCATAATGTTTCTATTAAATTGAATACTCAAATATATTTCCAACAATATATTTTACGATTAAGATTCTGATGTATTTAACTTCCCAGAACTGATAAGTATCTCGAGTGGTCGAGTTGATGTAGTAATGGTATTCAATCTTCTATGGACTGCACCTGTGCAGAACATTGCTGTGGACCAATTTACTGTTCTGTGCTGATACTCTTATCAGATCACTAAGCTTGCCGTGTTCATGTGAGTTTATAAAGACCTCAATGAAGCAACTGAAATGTTTTGCACCTCCAAACTTTATGCAGATAATCCACGCTCTCTCTCTCTCTCACACACACACAAATGCTTATAAATACAATCTACACTGCTAAAAATGTTATTAATACCAATTTCATTATAAAATGTACATTGTAAAGTAATAAACTTATTTACCTCCTATTATCATCATACATATGGTAAAAGCTTTTTCGTTGTCGGTTTCTGCTGCAACGTTTCCAAATCCAACACTTGTCATGCACGTCATAGTGTAATAAAGGCCAGTAACGTACATGGTACCCCTTGGAGGTCCTCCAACCAATTCAGTTTCAAAAGATTCGTTCGAAACGTGAAAGTAAAAAGGTGCTTGGGTAACGTTCGAGAGTTTCCATAACCAACTATAAACAAACCCATTTTCTGCGTCACTACGACCAAGACTGTACCAAATGCAAGCCAACCAATGAGCCACTAGCATGTAGAAACACAGCAGAAGAATCAACATGGCGGCCCCGTACTCCAAGTAACGGTCCAGTTTACGTACAACTCTTCCAAGTCTGAGCAGTCTTACAACTTTTAAAGCACTGAAGAGGCTTCCAATACTCTGTTTACAAAATCAAACTGCGATGAGTGAAGCGCAACAGGACATACATTTTACTTAACATGTACACAGTCAGTAAACACTACTAATAATAATTAATATCAATGGTGTATTCACAGTATTATGTAATATAAAGTTGCAGTGCGATCGAAAGCTGGAAAAGTAAAGAAAACATTAAGCCTAATATTTTTTATATATATCACACTTGGTTGCAGATATTATTCGACATTCTTCTTATCTAAGTCCATTACAGAATTTAAATCAGTACATACATATATACAGCATATATATATATATATATATATATATATATATTTCTAGCCACAGTACGCCCAGTTTGGCGACAGGGTTCTCGTATTGAGCATAAAGCCTCCTGACAGTTGACTTGCGTCATTTTTACACATCTCTCATATGAAATTTGTAAAATAATAATTAAAAGAATTATGTATGTAACATATATATATATGTATATAGTTGTATTATATAATATACTTTCACATTCCTTTACAGACAAATATTATCATAACTTTCAGTACAAATAAGAAAGAATATTACAAATTATTGTTAGAAACCAGCATAGTATTTTACAGGGATGGTTCAATTACTTTCTATTTACACACACATACACACAAAAGATGGATCTGAACATTTTAATTTTTCTGGTAATACTTTATTATAAAAACTAAATTTAGCTCATTCACCTCCATAAAAGGAGAACCAATTTAAAAGGAAATAAATATAAAATCGACACATAAATTGCTTCACAGACAAAACAAAATCGGTTAATTACATCATCATCTTGGTCAAAGGCGTTAAACACATCATAGGGGAGACAAGACAGAAGATCGATGATGAACCAACTTTTCAGATAATTCATCTTGATGATTTTTGGGTCGGAGACAACTTCTCCGCCTGGTCCTACAAAAGTAGTATGGAAGTTGAGGACGATGTCGATAAAGAAGATAACATCGACAATACTATCAAGCACTAAAAAGCTTACGTCCTCACTGCTTTTACTTTTGAAAGCCACGTTGTATGGCACCATGATAGCAGTGTAGAATGTTAAACAGAGGATTATCCAGTCCCAGGTAGCCTTAAAAGCACAGTAATGGAGTAAAATATGTGGAGGAGTTTTGGGAGCTTCTTGACGGTACTGTAGTGTGACATCAGGATTCAAGCTTATTGCCTATAGTGACAAAAATATATATCTAAGACAAATGATTTCATACACAGTGAAAATACAAAGTAGCAGTCTAAATTATCATTTGTCCTATGATATCTAAAATATTAACTTTATGAGAACGGTTGAAAATCAAATTCCTGATTGTTATGTTTCATAACCTCAAGAAAGAGGATTGTTTCTGAAGTTTTGTTTTTGTTTGTAGTTTAAGTACAAAGCTACACATTAGGCTATCTGTGCTCTGCCCAACACAGGTATCGAAACCTGGTTTCTAGCGTTGAAAGTCAGCAGACATGCCGCTGTACCACTGGGTGGCTATTTCTATTTTGTTAATTCATAGGTTCGTTGAATTAAAGTACGTCATGAATTCTAGAAATAAATTATGATAGTTAAAAAATAGGCTAGGCTTGTCTATTCAAAATACTTTAGCTCATGGTTAGAATGGAATTTGGTTTCAGTTGAAAATTAAGTACGAAAATTATCGTTTTATTTTTTAAATGATATTTCTTTAAAACATATTTTATCCATGTTTGGCTTTTCGTTACAAACGGTTGATGAAGCATTAATTTCTTGACATTCCTCCAGATTGCACGTCATTAACAGAACACTAAACATAAAGTTTTTACTACAGTCATTCAGACTAAAATACAAATAGACTGGTGCAAAGTCCTCTCCACCTCTAGTCCAACAGAATAATAACATTTGTAGCATCAGTTAGTAAATAGACGGAAATGGACTAAAATTCCAAACAAAAACACAAACAGAAATAAATCAACAATAAGCCTACGAGTATTTCAGTCAAACCTTCTTCATGAAGCAACTCATTTTTTGAAGTATCTGATAACTATATATATTTTTCGTCTTCTACATAGTCGATTAACATGCTCTGCAATGGTCGGGGGTTAAGCCTAGTTAGTGTTAAGTAATCAGAATATTTGCATTCATATGTATACCAAGTTCAAGGTAGTTAGAAAAGTGTAATGTATTTTTATGTTACTCCTCAAGTAGCTCAGCTACAGATCTGAGAGCTTCTGACGAGAAAGCCGCGTTTTGATATCCATGGTGGTCACAGCCTAAATAAGTGCTTGTGTAGTTTTGCGCTTAACAACAAAACAAACCAAAATATCTTCATGATTTATTCACCAAAATTATTAACATCAAAACGATAACAAGTAATTATTCAATTTTAATTATTGTAACAAATTGAATAGTGCTAATTTTAAAGCGCCACTGCGTGGTTATTTTTACATTTATGGTAGCCAAATTTCTCGGTTAGAAAATATATTGTTGAAATGTTTACACGTATTTGTATCCGATCTTGTGACATTAGCCTTGCTTAAAGACATTACCATGCAGACAAGCTTAAGATAAGCATTGTTTGACTTTATACTTCAAGTATAGGTTGTGTAGGTCGTCAGAATGAGATAATTTCACCATCTCTGTAGACCATTTTCGCTTGCTCTTTATACAGCTTAACATTGATTCGTAACAAACAAGATTCTGCATTAATTTTTAATGTTAATAGCAGCTTATTTTGTCATTTGAATGTTGGTACTTGCGTTTATTAGCACATCATATCTTTATTATGGACTACAGACGACTTACGAATGAAACTTAATTCAATTAATTGAAGTCAGAAAACAAAGGAAGTTCATTCCATCATTAGCCCAATACATTTCTTCAATTCAAGTTTCTTAGGCTTGTAACGAAAAGTTAGGTGCTAATCAAAATTCATATTTTGGTGCCCTTGTTGTATTTTTTAATACCCTATTTGTTTTTTTTTAACTACAACATATAGTCTTGTGAGATTCTTCGAAGTTACAAAAAAGTGAGGAGAAACAGAACTCTCAATAATAATCGTGCGTTAGTGTTAGTGAAAAGTTCTTTAACAGGTCTCTTAGTTTCTATTTTTTTACCTTCAGAATCTAAGAGCATAACTATAATAACTATAAAATAACATAAATGCAAGTGTAGTTTGATAATCACGGAAGCCACGTTTTGTTCACGTCTGTTTCTCAGTCTAACGGGATGACGTTGCTAAGATGCGACTCTTGTAATTATTACGCCGCTACGGGTCAATATATTAATTAGTCATTATCATGTACTGAAACACTAATAAAACGGTAATTGCGTTTTGTGTCAATTGTCGGTTAGAAAGAAAGATAGTCTGGCTCAGCAGATCGATGATTAGAAACGAAAACATACAGCATATGTATTCGATAAATATACAATACTTGCTGCGGACAGCTTTTCGTGGCGTTCACAACAGATATGCTAGAATATGTATTCAATGAATACACAATACTTGCTGTGAAGAATTAAATAATGCATTTGCAATGATTCCTGAAAGACGCCCCCAGTAGCTCAGGGTAAGTATGAGAGATTGTATGCCAAAAATCGGGTTTTGATACCCGCAATTGCACAACAAATATAGACTATTGTGTAGCTTTGCGCTTAGCAACAAATAATATAATGCACAGATAGCCCATTATGTAATATTGCGCTAAAACAAACAAACGAATATGAAATCTTAAAAGACTATCGTGATATCTATTTTCGACGAATCGAGCTAATAATTATAAAAATATTTTACAACTGTCTTCATGTTATTCTATAAATAAATAAAACCCATGAAACATATTCAGTAAATGTTCTTCTACCTCTGAAATAACTTTCAAAACATTTTGATTGCGTTTTTATAATGAGAATGTAATAATAGTGAATTTATACGTGGTAATCAAAATCCCATTTTCTTGAATGTTTAAATAATGTTCTTTTATATGTCCTTGAATTCCTGACTTCATATATAAAATCCTATATAGAATAACAAATTCAAATTAATTAGTATGTAACACTATATTTTCAGTAAAATGTATTAGAGAAAACTGGTAATATTCTAGGGCACTTTGTTTCAAATTTAGTAAAATTAATGTTCTATGTATTTTCTACAATAGAAATATCGATGTTCTGTGTAAGTTAAAAATTCCCCCTTTTATCAGAAGAGAGAATAATATTCTACATCAAATTTTCTCTGATTCTGATGAGAAAAAGAACTTGATCTATGTTGAAGATAAATCGTCTGACAAAAACAACTGATTATATTATTTTGTTTCTGTAATACAAACGTGTTTTCCCTTCTAAAAGTGTCAACTTGAACATTTACACACTTTGGAAACATAAATAAAGCAAGGCTTCAGTGTTCTTTTGTCTAGCGGTAGCTTATAAGGAAATAATTCAGCATTATAGAGTTCATCTGTTTAGCTAGGGATTTAGAAGGAAGTAAAAACTTTAAGTTTACTGCCCACGTTCATATAAATCTTATAGAGGTTTGGTAAGTTAAACTTATGACTATTCTAATTGCTTTAAACTATAATATAAAATACAAAGTTGTTTACTCTCATATAGTTACTTTTTCAACCTTTAATTGAGTTTCAAAGCTAAATATTTCTGTGAGTTGATGTTACATTTATGGTAAACCTACATGGCCCAACTGAGTTTGCTTTACATTCTCCGACCTTACAACGGGCAGGTGTGAGGAAAACTGTTGAACAATGACAGAGCGACTCCTGGTGACCGATCTGGCTAGACGGGCAAATTTGCTTAAGCCTAGAAGACAATAAGAACAAATGTACTTAAAATACTGTGAAATAAATTTAATTAGTTTTAAATATATATTTAGAATAACGATATTTATTATATTCACAAGTACAATATATTCAGCAAGGAAAGGAGTAAAAACCTTAATATTATAGATAGACCACATAAATCTCCACAGCGTCTCAGCCGTAAGCTTCTGGACTTACACCGTTAAAATTCGAGGCTCGATCTCCTCAAGATGGACAAATCGAAGGTAGCCTATTGTAATGTTTTGCTCTATAATAAACATATCAATATTAAATAAAATTACAATAAACTAATAATTGCATTAATTTCTGGTCTTTCTTCTTTGATAATCAGAAAATTGTTTGCATTGAAGGTGTTTGTAAGTAGGAATGTTATTTTTCAATTCAAAAGTGAAACTACTGGTGTTTTTTCTCATTAATTGTATTTGCATATTTATTTTCGAGGTCGTTAATGAGCTTAAAGAGATGAAAACATTAACAGATTGTTTTGAAACTAAACAGTTAGTACACTCTTAAAGTAACTTATAATTTGATACTTATATTTCTATGTTACGCTATTTTCGAAGACTGAAGTGCTGACATAAGACATTAGGATGTATACATCTTTAGAGGCATCTGTCTCTCACACACACTCCCACGAAGATTATATATTAAAATCAGTATATCTAAGAAAAACGATTAATTCTTTGAACTCTACTTTTGGCAGTTTCGTCCTCTAGGGGTTGCTTCAAAGCCGTAATGTCTCTGAAGGTCAACAAAAAGAGTACCACAATGTCCTTTTCATTTTTTATAGGTGCTATGTGGAGAAGAAGCCATAACGGTGTTCCTAAAAATTGGTATAAAACATAACGATAAATTCTGCCAACAAGATCATAAAAAATATTAAAATTAAACTTAGTTATTAAGTATCCAAATAGGTACGGAAAATAACCTTCACAACAGGTATATTCAATGATTTAAAAGTTTTAAGAAAATATAAAACAGCTAAGTTATCTAAAAGCTTAAGAAAGTGTCAAATATATAATTCTCGATCATTCATTTGTTCCGTTATATCGTCAGATTTAAACAATTTTTTTCTAAAACTCATGGACTAAGTTTTTGCAACAGAAGCATTTTAGCACTGAAAAAATGTCGAGAAAAAAATTCAAAATTAAAGCGCCCTCGAGTTTTCTATTCAATTTATGAACTAGAAAGTTTATCTAGTGTGAAGCTATTTTTCTGAAAATAAAGTCGCTTATAAGGTTTGATATAATGTATTGTTAATGTGTGAACGCCTTCTACAAGCTTGTAACAAGCCATAACGATTGTTGCGGTAACAAATAGCTTATTATATAAATAGTGTTCCGACCACTATATTAAATGATATATTTACAAATATTTAATATATTTATTACTTGATTCACACTTTATATTTTTATGTTTAAAGCTACTATGCTTACTTCCCTCTCTAGATTTGTATGTATACATACAATGCTTTGTTCATTGTGCTAGAATTCGGGTTTCGATACCAGTGGATGGCAGAACACAGATGGCCAATTTTGTAGCTTTGTGCTTAACAACAACCAAACCAAAACATTTCTACATTGCTAAACCTATTGCAATTTAAAGTTATATTCATGAGAAAACTCATTTTGTGATTACAAGTTGCTGAAGGAACTGAGATCAGTAGATTATTTGGTAAATTAAATTATACAAATATCATAAATTTACCAGCTGACAGGTGTTTTTAAGTAACTCGCCACAAACAAAAATATGGAAGTGTTATTACCCATACCGAAATCAACTTTTGTCATTGGTTTGAAAGCTATTTTAATCCTCTTGGTATAATATAAAGGTTATGGGGGTTTCTGGTTACTCAGTGTATTTGTCCATATTATCTTTAAGAATATTTTGTACACGTAGTTAACGAGTTTGAAGTCATTTAATAACTCTAGAAAAGGAGTTTCATGTTTGTTATTCTATGCTGCCCGTATTTTGTCATTTCAGAGCGGTAATATAAAGGGTTTGATCTTATTTTTATTAGGTGTTTATGTACACTCCTTGAAGTATTACGCCAACTTCTGTACGCCCTTGGCATCCGAAACCACTTACTTTGCTTTTACAGATGCTGAAACTTTTTGGACATTGCTGGAAAATATATACTAAATCTGGATATGCTATTCACAATGGTGGTTTGGAATGCCAAATTAGATGTCTTGAGTTTTCAGAACATACTCAGCTGCACCAGTTAGATTTTATTGTAGAAGCCAGCGAGTAAAGCCCACGGTTCATCATCTGAATTATTTAAGATGTTGAAATAGTAACATGTAACCAAAGCGTGTCAAATTTTGGCTTCACCGTATAACGTCTAAAAACAAACCAAAATCAAAAGTTTTGATAACGAAACCTAAATAATGACCTTTTTTATCTCGACTATCTCTCTCTCTAAATTTGCTAAAATTCATTTCATGGACAATTCAAGTTTCGAATTTTAGGGGAATTACAAAATATTGCGTGACATTAAAGAAACGTGATTCTCAAACATACAACGTATCTACAGCTCATGAAACAATTAGTCCTTCAGAATCACAATCATTCACAGCATATAAAACGTTACGCAAAAGGTACATGATACACAAATGTTATTAAAATTATCTGTAGTTGATTTCTATGTTAAAATTTGCACTATACAAAGCAAGCTACAAGCATTAACGACAAATGATAAATGTCGATCTAACAGTTTATCTTAGAATAATGATTTATCGAAAGTAGTTTAAGATTTATAGACAGAAAGCATGAGACTTGGAATATTTAAAGACCTATTTTACACGTCATTGTTTGTTTAAAAGTATAAGATCTTTCCTATACATAATTAATCTTTCAGATCCTATCGACACTACGATTAACGTAAGGCTCTTGATTTACTAGAATAAACGCACGTGAATATTTTATAGATTACCTTTCCAAAATTATCACGGTGGGAAGCCCCAGTCGCGAAAAAATTCATCAGAAGTAGAAATAGTGCTAATTGTTAGGATAAAGGTTTGTCGATTTTGACATTTAACGTTAGTTAACACGTGGAAAAAAACAATACTTTAAAACCTTTGTTTGACATTTTTGCATATAGAGAGTTTCATTATAATTCCGCAACATTGAAATAAAATATTTGTGTGATCTGTTGAGATGAGCGTATGATGTTTACGACGTTTGACCTTATTACAAACCTATTAAAGATCACCCCTTGAATATTTCATAAATTATTATGTTTTTAGAAATTTCACGTTCAACCAAGAAAATACATTGTCTTTGAAAACAGCTATTTGTTAGCTTGAAACTTTTATCAGACTAATCGACCATAAGAAAACTACAACCTCTATACCAGCTATATAAGGTCACGGGTCAAGTAGTTTCAATAGAATGTACCAAAATGCCACATATATATTTTCCGGAAGTGTGAATATTAAAGTTTAGTTTATTATTGTATAGATATCATAAGTAAATATTCCAGAACAAGATCCATTCAGACAGTACTTCAAAGCTGTATGTAATTAAAAAAATAATAAAAGAAAACAAGCGAAGAATCTGTAACTCCCAATTATGATATTGAGATATCACTTTCAAAATAATTATCATGTTAAATTCAAACGTACGCGACGTGCGAAGTCCTTGTTTGTTAGATAGTGCCCAAATCAACGGATCTGTACAATGGAAGTCAACGTACATTATAAACTTATTTATATTGTATTACTCTTATTTGTTATCATATAAATATGGATCTTTAATTGCACTTGTGTTCATGGTAATAAAATGTCAGTTTAGGAGGCATAGTAATTTTTACACTACCTGGAATTTTACAAAGCGTAGTGCCCCCCAGTGGCACAGCGGTATGTCTGCAGACTTACAACGCTAGAAACCGGGTTTCGATACCCGTGGTGGGCAGAGCACATATAGCCCGGGACAAAACTGATATTCGAACATTGATGTCATCTTTATGTCACATGTTGCACAAGACAAAATTTGGTTTGGGCCGTATGAAGTCCGATATTTATTTTGTCAACATTTATACTTTAGATTTCATATTTTTAACCAGACACTCATTAATAAATAACGACTGTATGCGCCTATATTTAAGATCCATGTAATAATAGGAAATAAAGCGGATCTTACAAGATTCTTCTTCTCTGTTTGATTAATCTTGGCGGAAGACCTGATTTAAAATACGGGGCAGTATTAACGGACGCTTAAAAAAAAGGTGTGATTTCATACTTTTATGCCCCCCACAGATAGCCCATTGTGTAGCTTTGTGTATAACTACAAACAAACCGTTAGGCTCCCCTAGTGGCACAGAGGGATGTCTGCGGACTTACACTACTAGAAACTGGGTTTCGATACCCGTAATGGGCAGAGCACAGATAGCCCATTGTGTAGCTTTGTGTATAACTACAAACAAACCGTTAGGCTCCCCCTAGTGGCACAGAGGGATGTCTGCGGACTTACACTACTAGAAACTGGGTTTCGATACCCGTAGTGGGCAGAGCACAGATAGCCCATTGTGTAGCTTTGTGCATAAATTCAAACAATCAAACAAACAAAGCGCAGTGTCATAACATTAGTAACGCTATTTTACCAATTTCCTAAACCTCATTACAGTAAAACTGTAAACAGTACACGTGATTTAAAAAGTGGTGTTTTTTGATGGGCTATGATTTCATGACGATTATGTTTAATTTAAGGTATAACCAAAATGAATGAAATAATTTGACGTTATCTGTTTTTAATATTTTTATCTTTAGCCTTTTTTATCCGTTTTAAAGCATTATGTGTTATAAATTTTGTAAAACTGGTTAAACTGGTACATAAAACACAAAATCGAAATTACATTATGAAACTCAACTTAGGGACTTCTATATCGCGATGAAACACATTATCTACGTTATCATTTTTACCCAATCGCTACATAACGGCTTTAGTTATGCTGTTTGTTAAACCCATTCTAGGATATACGTTTCGCTCCAGTGCTCATTACATACACACACACACACACAACAAAAAAAACACGATATGTCCAAAATAAAATGGCACAGATGCGGAGCGCTAGAATCTCGTAAGATCTCAATTTTAAATCAAATTCACATTTGCCGCGAAATGTGAAAGGCAAAAAAATAATTGGATTTATGATGACTACACCAAGGAAAGTGAAAAAAAAAGATATATCATGTTGTTTGCAAAAGAACCGTAAGGTTCTTGGAGATTTATCGATTCGACTACAGAGGACAAAACACAATAATTGTTTAACCAATCAGAGCCAATGTTACATTAGGGGCATGTCAGATGTTCGTATATTGAAGAAAAATTACAGCGGTTGAGCTGTTTAGAAGATATAAAAAGAAACAAAGTTAAAAATTAGCTGCTGTTGAATTTTGTTATGATGTGTGAGTATTAATACATAAATTAAATGGTTTTTACCCAGATTTAAAATAAGGTTCTCCTGTTCCACTATTCTGTAAGAACAAACATAACTCTAACATATTTATTGCTATTTCTTTATAAATCTCAATTTTGTAAAAAAAAATCATTATGATTTAAATTAAATATTTGCAGCCACCCTAAAACACATTATTTCCAAAAATAGTTTAACTCGGACATTTGAGCGGTTAATACCGCTTAACTTTAACTTTTAGTAAAATCAGTAAAAAAAACTCAATGTGTATAATGTTTTGTCATAAACACATTTCTCAAACAACGCATCTTGTTTAAATTAGGGTTTTAAAATGTTGCTCCAAAACAAGAGAATATTACTTGTTTAATTATGTTAACAAAAGTTAATTATATACTTTACCTGCCACTGGAATTTCTTAATATAATCGTATTAACTTGAGTACTTACGAGTTTTGTGCAATCATAGATAATTTGATTGGCTGTAGTGAGCTTAACTCATTTGTTGTAGCTTGGAAACTAAATTTCAAAATATTATATCAGATTTACCTATGGTTTGAGCCCAAAAGTGGCTTAGCCGTAACTTTGGTGGATTAAAACGCTGAAAATAGAAATTAGATACATGCGTTATGCAACGGAGTCCCTCCATTTTGTAGCTTTGTGTTAAAAAACAAATTAACCCTAACGCCGTCAGAACATTTTCTTAAGCCTGTTTATGCTTTCATAAATAAATAAATTATTACTACACAATACATACCTAGTTCTATATAAGATACATTTCCTCACTGTTTACATGGATTTTTGATTAAATCTATAATAATCCTAAGCTTAGTTTTCGGAATACTTGTATTCTCGTTCACATTGCAACATAGCAAACCATAGCCTTTTATTTTCTTTAGTATCAAGGGCCAGATGGGCAGTGTCGGATTGCTGAGCCAAGTACTCGAGGTTCGAGACGTAATGTCAATTAGTAATGTCAGCTAGTAAAAGCGATAGCCAATTCCTATATTCGGTTTAAAGAACCAGATAAAGCTGCGGAAGCTAGTACTGCTGTCTAGCTTCCTGCCCGCTAGTCAGTAATTCAAAATTAGTGGCATCAATACCTCCTCCGCCTCTCCTTGTTCTTCGGCCCGGCATAGCCAGGTGATTATGGTGCTAGACTCGCAATCTGAGGGTCGCGGGTTTGAATTCCCGTCCCACCAAACATGCTCGCCCTTTCAGCCGTGGGGGCGCTATAATGTGATGGTCAATCCCACTATTCGTTGGTAAAAGAGTAGCCCAAGAGTTGGCGGTGGGCGGTGATGACTAGCTACCTTCCCTCTAGTCTTTTACAGCAAAATTATGGACGGTTTTGTTTGTTTGTAGGTAAGCACAAAGCTACACAAAGAGCTATCTGTGCTCTGCCCACCACGAGTATCGAAACCCGGTTTCTAGCGTTGTAAGTCCACAGACATACCGCTGTGCCACTGGGGGCAATTATGGACGGTTAGCGCTGATAACTCTCGTGTTGCTTTGCGCGAAATTCAAATCCAGCCAAACCTTCTTCTTCATTCGACTTTAATCCCAAATAATTTTAGAGTCGGCTTCTCGGGTAATTTGAATTAAAGGGTGAGCGTGTTCGAACCCAAGACCCAAAGATTGCAAGTCGAGCGCCCTAGGGGTATGAATACCTAAACCCTTGAAATATCTGACCTGGCCATTTAGTCCACGTACGCATAAGGTACTTAATTCTTGCATCACAAGTATACCTTTATTTCTGTGTGCTATTATAAATTGGTATATTGATAATAAAGGACTGGTTAATAAAATACTTTTATGTCAGTAGCACCGGTATAAAACATACAACATAAGATTATGAAGTTATAACTTAAAATTATCTGTTGTACTTACGATTTTTTTTATAAAGTAAAATTTCGAATTGGTCCAACGCCTGGTTGTCGAGAGTATGTTCGATTTTTGCTATTGTATTCTTTTCAGTCAATTCCCCATACATGAAGTTGCACCTGCAACTCTTCTGCATCACTTCGGCTCTGTTATAACCAGAGATTTTACAGAATGTTTCTGAGCAGTAGACTACTGGGTAATCCACTATTTGAGCGTTGCCCAACAGGAAGCTACAATCCGCTGAAAAAAAAGAGAGAAATGGGTGTATGTAATACCCAATTTCAGGTAAACCCATGATATTTGTTTTTCAGATTTAGTCCTTTTATAAGTGCTAAAAACTTCTCCTTTTTCATTTTCAACTTGCATGCAATCAAGATGCCTTAATTCCTTAAAATGAAGAAGCTTAAACAAACCCCACTTTATCCATCCTTATCCTGTTCGAACAGTCCTATAATCAATTGAACGAACCTTATAAAATTCTAGAACGCAGTGACTTGTGGAAGCTGTCAAATCTGATGTAGCCTAAACTATGCTATAATATATTTTTTTCTTATATTGGCTATGAATGTTTCAAAATAATTCTAAAACTATTTCCAATAAGTTTTCAAAAAACAAAAAACAACAACTTTATTTTAGGTTTCTTCTGAGTTTAGTGACAACTTCCCTATTCATCGTTTATCATATAAAAATAATATAATAAATTTAAAACTTGTCAAGATCTGTAACAAAATTGAGAAACAGCTTTACAGGAGGCTGACTGTTCTATATATTCTACATAATTTATTCAGATAACTCTCTTAAAAACAAGTGGTTTTGTTCAGTATAACAGCTTTAGAAGAAAAGTTTAAAATGACATTTTAGTTTGTTAGAATCTTACAAAATAAACAGCTGCTCTAAAGAATATTTCAGAGTACAAAACTTAATTTTTATATATATATAATTCAAATCAAGTGTTGAAGACTTATCCAACTTATAGCTAAGAGCTTAGGAAACCATTTTAACTTTACACGTTCATTAGACCCAATGTTATGCAAGTAGCTTAATGTTATCAACGATCACGTATTTCATTGATTTTTAACATTAAACATGAAATTTTCCAAGCAATATTAAACATTATCAACGATCAATTATTTCATTGTTAGAGGGCAGGTCGGTCGTAGTAGGAACTATGAAACACTATTATCAGAGCTAATGGAAATGTTTCATTCGTGGAAAAACATTTTAAAAAAATCCACCTTAGCTGAACAACCATACAATACAGGACATTCATTTGATTGGGATAAGTACACTATTTTCGATACTACAGGGCACTGGAAACGTAGAAAAATTTAAAAGTGTTCAGAGTAACGATTAATAACCGAGATCAAGGCTTAGAAACTAGCAATATCTGGTGTAACATTCTAATGAAATTAAACCAAAACAGAATTCAATAACCAATCAAAATTCTTCATAGCTGAAGAGATTCTCTGTAAGGACCGCGCTATGTTAAAATCTCTCCTATTTTCAGAAAATACGGTCTTGGTGAAGGATTCAACATAGAGCCCTAAACTTCGTCTTGAAATAAAGAAAAACTGTATTTTCTTGCAGCAAAGTGTTTGGGTTACAGCTCAAGTTTTCATGCTAGATGAGGAGAACTTATCAAATTTTGTGTTCACAACGTGTAATACCAATAATAAGCACACTAAAAAATTATAAGATAAAAAAGTTTTTTTGTAATTAAGCACAAAGCTACACAATGGGCTATCTGTGCTCTGCCCACCACGGGTATCGAAATCCGGATTTTAGCGTTGTAAGTCCGCAGACATACCGCTGTGCCACTGGGGGCAATAGAAATATTCATAATGTTTTACTTACAGTTTATTCAAAAGGACAAAATAGTGACAATAACTTTAAATTCGAAGGTATTTGTGAATAATTATGCTCCATTTGTAACCACAAGATTGTAGCCAGTAATTAAATGTTTTGTCTCTTTCCTTCTTAGCTATCTATACGTTGCCCATGGTTAAAGTAAAGACTCGTTTTTATCTAGTTCTTTATCTGTAAATACAAAAACATTTAGCTGGTTTATCGTCAGTTCTCTATACAAGTTACTCACTTAATGCAGTTCCCGGTAAAGAATGTTCAGTCATGAGCAAGATCAGCTTCCGATCAGCTAGGTCAACAAGAGAACATAATTTAGAACAAACACAGACAAGTAAGTTCATTGTTTCGAAGATAGGAACCTAATGGCTCCATCCCCTAAGGAAGGAAATCTCTAGAAATGAACCAGATGAAACTCTGGAAAATTCGCGACTAGGAAATTTTTTGTTGTTGTTCAGTTTGCTAAAGGAGTATTGAAAAAATTACTTCAATAAATCTTGTTACAGTTTCGTAAAAACAAGCTATAGTTTCAAGCAATCAATAGAAAATGCACTAAGATATTTGCTGCTGCACTAGTCTAATCTTGTTATACGTATGTGCTTACGCTAGTCTGTTAGAAGGCATGATATTTTGGACTGGAAAATTTTAGAACAAACGAGCCTCACATATTTTCCGTTATTTTAACCAGCTTTTCAATGTGATCTCGCACAGTTACTAGAGTCTCGCTTATACAATTAATTCAATTTTTGGTTTTTATTATAATAAATTATAATCTATATACTGAATAAAAGATATATTGACCAAGCAATACCCACAAAGATTTTTTTATTATTTAGTACAAAATCGTAAACTGTGTCATTTTATTCATTATTTTGCTGATGGTTACGTTAAATACGATTTCATAATCAACAATACAATTTAGTCATATACCGAATAACGTAACTATAAATATCCCCCAAACTAAGAAAGGTTGATCTAACAAACAGTAAAATTGTTGGTCCTATTAAAACTACCTGTATGTAAAAATACTGTCGTTTGCAATGATTCAGCATGTTTTACTGTACACATACGTCTTGACTGTAAGGGCATCTGTAATTCTCGAATTGTGATTCACAAGTTTACAGCAAATGAAAGTAACACATCAAGTTGAATACTGGTGAGTATAAAAAGAAACTCCAGCAAAAACATATTGAAGTTCACATCTATAATATATTACTGACAGTAAAATAACCATCTGTAAATGTTTTGTAAAAAATGCAGAATAATAAATGCATTCGGGTTATGCTACAAAACAATTGTAAATTATTATTATTTTTTTTTTACTATTAAGACAGGTTTTAAATAATGTTTTAAGGTTACACATGGTTGGTTTTTCGATACTTTAAGACAGTAGTAAAAATTATATAGTATCAATACTCACTGAGAAAAAAAAAACTTCCCAGCTTCGTTATAATTCGATTTTTTTTTTTGCAAAAGATTAGTTTAGAGAATTTGTAGAATAGAAATATTCTTAAGATTTAGCTATTAAGATAAAATAAGCATATAACAATACAGTCAACTAGAAAATTAGTATATGGCAAATGTTTCAGTTTGTATATTTCAGTCTTTCTTTTCTGATATCAAATCTGGGACCAAGAGTGGCCTAAAGCTTAGCTTGTCCGGACTGTGAATCCAACGATTCAATATTTACGACCCGTTGCCGCAGAAACGCTCTACGCACTTTGGGGAAGTCGGAGCGATATAAGTGGGTTGCATGAGTAAACGTATGATAAGGAGCTTGGTTGATAGATGTGAATACCTACAGTTTGAATTACACCCTGGAAAAAGAAATGAATAATGGAGAGAGCTCTCTAGTAGATGACAGCACAACAATTACATCTTGGAGAGAGAGCCCTCTGGTAGATGAAAGCACCACAATTACATCTTGGAGAGAGCCCTCTAGTAGATGACAGCACCACAATTACATCTTGGAGAGAGCCCTCTAGTAGATGACAGCACCACAATTACATCTTGGCTCGTATATGGTTGGGTAGCCTTGGCTTACAGATACTTTTGTCTTAATTTATATTTCTCTAGAGTGACTGTGTATTAATAACATGATTAGGTATTAAATAATCCGAGGAAAACAAAATTTTGTAACAAATCAGACAACAGGCATGTAGTAAGTTATTTTCAGAAACATATTTGGGTAATTAACTTGTAAAGCTGTTTTTATATTGTACAAAATGAACGAACACTGTTAATCATGTCTTGCAGAGAAAATGTATAGAAGAAGCAATAAGAAAATAAAACCTATTCACGATAAGCTTTAGATATTTACTATCAGAGAAATGAAAAACGAGACTATTAGAACCACTGTTTTCAAACCGAAATAGCAAGATAACGGTCCATCAAACGGATTGCTACTAGAGGGCTATAAATTAGAGAGAAGGTAGCTAGTCAACACCACCTACTGCCAACTCTTCAGCTATTCTTTACCAACGAAAAGTGTGACTGATCGTCACACTATGACGCCTCCACGCTGAAAGGACGAGCATATTGATTGTGAATCGAGCACCATATTCACCAAGCCATACCAGGTCTAACTAATTTATACTTATAAGTAAAAAAAAAAATGTTTGTTTGTTTGTTTATTCGCGATCTACTCCATGGTCTTTGGATCAATCTTATTCAAACTTGGTAGGATAATACATTGGACCAAAGCGCATGCTAGAGAGTGGTTATTACCCGGCTGCCCCTACTCTGGGCCACGTCCATAGCAAAAATATGTTTGTTTAGCCATTGACTCCACAGTCTTTGATCAATTTTTCTTCTTCTTTTTTTTTAGTTTTTCTTGGTAATTTTGAATTATTTCATTTAAAATGTCAAACATTCACATTTTTGCCAGAAAAAGTGGCAACCAAAGCACAAAGTCAGACCTTTAATATAGCAGAGCTATCTGCACCTGTAAACCCCTTGCTCTTCAAATGTTGTATGTTCAACAGTAGGATAACCAAGAAATCTCTTTATTTTGACCCAGGATGGAGGAAGAGCTTCTAATGTGATCTATCAAAAGGCACTCAGAGTATCAACAAACACTGAGGATTTAGAAAGGGATTAGAAAATGTAATAAAGCAAAATAAGGTAAAAGTTGGTTGGTTGTTGTATGTTTTATAGCGCAAAGCATCAAGGTTATCTGCGCCGTAACACTTTTTCTTCAGTTCACCTATAGGTTTTTCTCACAGTGACTACAAAGCATGTTCACTCCAACAATATGGTTGATGAAATATAGTAGTTGTGAATATAAAACTAATTCTTTATCTAATTTATTAGTTCAAACCTTACATCCAATCCTTATGCCCCCGTACGCAGGAGTTTGTAATAATATAAAAGGAAGTATC